AATCTCAATGAAAATCCCAGCAAGTTATTTTGTGGATAGCAACAAACTGATTTTAAAGTTTATACTAAAGGCAAAAGACCTGGAATATCCAACACAATAATGAAGGAGAGGGGCAAAGTCAAAATACTGACACTACCCAACTTCGGGATCAAGACAGTGTGATTTTGGCAAAAGAGTAGACAAATAGAAGATAGAATCACACAAAAAGTCACCTGATATTTGACGAAGTAGTAAAGGCAATTCAATAGAGAAAAGATAGACTTTTCAACAAATAATTCTTGAATGAATGGACATCCACATTAAAAAAAAAACCCTCAAATCAATACATCAATCACATGTAAAATTTACATTTTACATACCATTACAGGTGGAACACAGGAGATTTTATAGATAAAACTATAAAACTCCTGGAAGATAACATAGGAGAAAATCCAGATGATGCTGGGTCTGACTTTTTAGATATAACAACAAAACCATCGAAGAAAAAAAGTGATAAAATGAACTTTATTAGAATTAAAAAAACTGCTCTGCAAAAGACAAGCCACAGAGAGGGGGGAAAATCTGCAAAACACACATCTGATAAAGGAGTAGTATCCAAAATATACAAAGGAGTCCTAAAACTCAACAATAAGAAAACAATTCAACTAAAAATTGGAAAGATCTGAACAGACACCTCAGCAAGGAAGCAATACCAATGGGAAATGAATATACGAAAAGATGTTCAACATCACATGTCACTAGGAATTGCAAATTAAAACAACAATGAGATTCCACTGCAAATCTATTAGAATGACTAAAATCCAAAACACTAACCACACAAAATGCTGGTGAAGAGGTGGAGCAATAGGAACTCTCATTCATTGCTGGTGGGAATGAGAAATGGTACAGTCACTTTGGAAAATAGTTTGGTAGTTTCTTAAGAAAACTAAACACACTCTTACCATACAATTCAGCAATCACACTCCACAGTCTTTACCTAAATGAGTTGGCAATTTAGGGCCACACAAAAACCTGTACACAGATGTTTATAGCAGCTTTATTCATAATTACCTAAACTTGGAAGCAACCAAGATGTCCTTCAGTAGGTGAGTAGGTAAGTAAACTGTGGTCTATCCAGACAATAGGATTTTATTCTACGCTAAGAAGTGAGCTATCAAGCCATGAAAAGATACAGAGGAATTTTAATGCCTATTGCTAAGTGAAAGAAGCCAATTCTAAAAGGCTACATACTGTATTATTGTAACTATAATAACAGTCTCAAAACTAGGGAGAAAAAATTAGTGTTTGACAGGGGCTTGGAGGAGGGGGGAGAGGAATGAACAGGTGGAACACAGGAGATTTTTTCACAGTTACCTACTATAATGGCAGATGCAGGTCCTTATACATTTGTCAAAACCCACTGAATACATAACACAAAGAGTGATGTGAACTATGGACTTTAAGAATACTGTATCAATATCCACTCCTCCAGAGTAACAAGTGTGCCACACATTGGTGCTAATGCAAGGTGTTACTTATATATTTGGGACAGTGGAGGAGCATGGGGGCTGAGGGAGCATGTGGGAACTCTGTATTCTGCTCACTTGTTCTGTAAACTTAAAATTGTTCTAAAAACTAATTTAAACAAACAAACAAATCTAGGTCTATAGTTCACATTCTTACTTTAAAATGCAGTTCAATTGGGTTAAGATAAATATTTTAAAAATCAAATATAGGAAAAAAACATCATGGGCTTTAGAAACTTGACTCTAAAAGAAAAACATAAAGGAAGCATGTGATAAATTTTCATGCAGGGAGATTTTACATGTATCTGAAGCAATTTGCCAAAAGAATAAAAGCCCATTGCCAGAAGATGAATAAAAATGTGTTCAAATTACAATTAATCAAATAAATGCATAATAAAACGAGGGACTGTTTTTCTCCTATACAATTGGAAGGCACTTAAGACTATATAAATATCTGATGTTGTCTAGGTTATGGGAAAATGAACACTCTCCTGTCACACTAATGGGATAACAAATTGGCGCAAATTCTCTAAAGGAAAATTTGGCAATAAATATAAAAATCCTAGAAATGGTTCTTTTCTTTTGACTCAGCATTTTCACTTCTAAATTATGTTTGGGTGAGCAAATAAAGGCATGAGTACTGTAAAATTATGATACATTCACACTGGGTGGGCCATACAGCCGGTTAGGGCAACACACTTTGCTTCACCACCAGGAATATGAAGGCCATGACACCCCAACAGATAACAAGCCACCATGATTTTTAAAAGTGCTGTGTGTGTGTGTATGTTTGGGTACTTGCAGCGCAAAAACCTGGGAGGATTCACACAGAAATGTTAAATGTCACTGAGTAGAGTGTTTGGGTTTGGGGCATTTTCAATGACAGTAATTATCTTTTTTTACCAGAATGTTCTGGCTTTTTCTATCCTGAGCGTATATTACTTGCAGGAAAGTAAAGCAGTACAAAAAAGATCCCTTTGGAAGCGGGGAGGTAGAGTCAGGGTAGCCACCAGGGGGGCTGTTGTCACAATCCAAGGAAGTTGAGCTTGGCAGGCACAGGTGCTCTGGGAGGGGCCTCAGCCAATCTGGACCTTTGGCCTCGGAAAAGATCAGGAACCACAAGGGGGCGGAGTCAGCGAAGGGACTACAGAGCTGTTGCCAGGCAGCTGGGCTGGCTGGCAGGCAGCCAACAAGCCTCTTCTTCCTTCCTGAGTTGGCGTGCTCAGCACCATTGCCCCGGCATTGCGTGGGTACACTCTGGGGCTGCCCTGGCAGCAGGAGGACTGTCAGGGCTTCCCAGGCTTCCTACCCCAAGCACCCAGCTCAGACCTCGGTCCCCAGTGAAATTTCCTTGCTACTTAGAGCTCATTGCCAAGTCCCTGAAACAGGCAGAGTGGCAGTCCCCTAGTGACTTCACTGCCTGGACGGTGACACTTTGCTAAGGGCAAAAGGCAATCTTAGCCTGACCTCCAGGACCCTGTAAGTCTACTTTAACATATAAAAATTCCTTTGGAAACTTCCTTTATCTCTACCCCCACCCCCCAAGATACATGTTGGCAATCATCCCCCACGTATATGACCCACAGATATACATCTGAAGGGTCTCATTAAGGGACAGGCTGGTCTAGGTAGGGAGAGATAGTTCGGGGGCCACAGGATCAGGCTCACAGAAATCCCAAAAATGCAGAGTTGTAAGAAAATCAGAGATAAGGGAACAAACGAGACCACCCTGCCCCTAGGTGTCAGAAGTGGGGTCTTGTTATAACAGTCACTTGTGACCAACAAAGAACTACCAGACCCTAAAAAGGAAGTAAGTTGTTAAAGGTGTAATCACTAGTCCTTATTGAATGGTGCTATCATTAGAGATGTTAAAAGGATTTAAGTTACCTGGTTAGTCTTCAATAAAAAACCAACCCTAAAAGCCCTCCGTGGCAACCCTGTAAGGACCCCTCTCACTCCTGAGAACTTTTTCTGTATCCTTGCTTAATAAAACTCTCTTTACTCACTCTCTTTTGTCCTAGAGATTCATTCTTCGACTCCGTGACACAAAAAACTCACTCCCCCGCTTTACCAGGACCCGGCTCTCAGACTCACCCAAGCTGGGTGGCACTGTGCAGGAGCAGCAGCTCGGGGCCACCTGTTCTCAAGCTGTGGTCCTGGGAGCCTGCAGAAGAATGCAGCTCTAGTAGCGGGGAGAGGCTCAGCCAAGCTGCAAGGCACAGCCCCAAGGCATCCCATTCCACCAGCTGCCTTGGGTGCAGCAGGGGAGGGGGGGCAGGAGAGGCAAGGGAGAGCAAAGCTGACTCTTCTTCGGCAATCAGTCTGCTCCATTAGGCACCTGGCAGGGAGGCTACTGTGTCCCTCCCACAGCAGGGTCCCTGGGGGGTCCTGTTTCATCTGCTGTCTTTCCCACTATCCTGTGCACAGGGGCTGGCCATGGTACAGGCTCCCCAGAACACCTGAGCCCGCAGACCTGTAATCAACCTTAAGGAATCGCTTTCAACTCTTAAGGCTCAATTTCCTTGTCTCCAAACGAGACGTCACAAGATTGTCTCCCAACATTGTCCTGAAGGTTAATACTCGTAGAAGGGACAGCTGCCCACATTCACAGAAGGTCTCCTAGGTCCAAAGTGCATAATCTAATGTCATTCTGAAGCAACTTAGTATTTATCCCTCCACCCCAATTTTAGCCAAAGAAACTAAGAGTCAGAGTTTGAGAAACTTGACCAAGATCACTGAGAAGCGAGGGAGTAGGGAGAAAATAGTCACCTGAAGCCAAAGCCCACCACCCTTAACTCAGCGTCTGAGCATACTTGTTAAATTCTATCTCCATCTGCACCTAAGGGATATTCCTGCCTCTTCTAGGGAGGTGACAAATGAGGGACCTGAACAGGTGCGGGGAGGAGGGGCTGGGCTCTAAGTAGCGCGACCTCAAGAACTGTGTTGGGGTCAAGCTGGGGCCCAGGGGTCAATGCTCTTGTGCACTAGGGACGGCGGAGGGGGAGGGGGTGGAAACTCTCCAATCACAAAAGGCCCTTGTGCCCGGCCCCCAGATTTGGCCAATCGGGGCGGGGGGGGGGCAATCTTTTCCACTCCCGAGAATGGGGTGAGGGACTTAGCCCAGCAGACCGAGGGCCCCTCCGCCACGGACCAGCCCTGTCACCTTCGACTTGTCCCTTTCTTTCTCTGATCCTCAGATAACGCCCGCCTCACAGGGCTGAGCGGGCTCGGTAAAGCGCCCTGCCCACCCGGCCCGGCTGGATCCTCGGCGAGCCCAAACCCTTTAGCCTGAGGACCCCTGGCTAAGCTGGAGGCTCGGCTGCCCCAGGGGGAATCCCGGACCTGGACCCCAGGCCCTGCGTCCCCGCAGCGAAGCTCGTGCGTCCACCAGGCGCCCCCACTGGGGGACCCGAGCCCAGAAACCCTGGAGTCGCGAGTTGGCAGCCTCCTTCCCTCGGAGGGTCGGGGCTCGGGGCTGGGGGTGGGGGGACTCACCAAGCGCGGGAGGAGGCACAGGAGTCGCGGGCCAGAAGGGACCTCTGAGAGCCTCGGTCGGGGGACAGAGGCTGGCGCAGGCCGGCCCAGGGCGGCGGAGAGGTGGGACCCGCCCCTGCCTGTCCCAGAGCCTCGGCCAAGGCCAGAGCCTCAGAAGGGAGGGGCCCCTGGCTGAGGCCAGAGGGGCGGGGCGCGGGGCGGGCGGAATGTCGCCCTGGGCAGGGGTGGGGAGGGCTCTCACTGGCTGTGTGAGTGTGGCCTGGGCGTGTCACTCACCCTCTCTGGGCTTGCTTGCATTTACAGGCGAAAGGACTTGCTATGGACCCTTCAGAATTCACAGGGCTTCGAAAAGGCTCAAATGTCTGGCGGTTAGGGATATCTGCAAGGCTGAGTTGGTGGGAAGAAACTCGCCAACCCTGATAATTTCACTCTCACTCACTCATTCAAGAATAATGTGCCAAGTTCCTACCGTCTGCAATGGACAAGGGCAGAGCCAAAGACAGTAACTGTGTCCAGGTGAATAATGGGGTTTCTGCCTGCCCAGCGCTCTTCCTGCCTGGTGCAGCCCCAGGCCTCCCTCTAGACAATTCTTCTTTTTGCTCCCTTCCACCTAGTCTGGTGCCCCGATGCCTCCCCTGTCTCAGGCAGGGTTATCTGTCCCACTCTGGGCCAAAGTCCAGAAAAGAGAATACAGAGGAAGATAAATCTGCACATTGTTTTCTGACTGTGAGCCCATGTCCAGTGGCTCCTGGACAAGCCACCAAGCATGCCCTTCCTGCCACACCTGCTGTTGGACTCTGCTATGGCCTTCTTAGCCTCGCTCCTTCTGAGATTCTCTCCACCTGAGCTCAGCCACCTGGACCTCTACACAGTGCCTGAACACTCGAGTGTGTTCTGGCCTCAGGGCCTTTACACTGGCCCTTGCCAGAATGTTCCTCTCTCAAATACTACAGAGGCATGCCCCTGCCTTCACATCCTAGCTGATATATCCAATATCTGATCCAGAGCCTTAGAGAAGCTTTTCCAAGTCACACAATCTAAAGAAGTTTCTCAGCCAGTCCCCATCACTTCACTCTTTTATTTCCTGCACAGCACTTACTGCATATCTGACATTTTTTAGTTCATTATTTGGTTATTAATCTGCCTCTCCAGCTACTACAACTCTTTGAGGACAGGAAACCTGTAGAATGTGTTCACTTTTGTCAGGGGCCTGGACTGGGAAAATAGCATGAGCAGAGCTTTGAGGCTAGAATAGAGAAGGCAGAAGGATAGGTGACCGGAAATCCTGAAAAATGGGCTTGGGAGATTGGACACCCTTAAAAGTGTCAGGAAGTCAGGGAAGAACCCACAGCCTTAGCAGCGCATGGAGCTGAAGAGGAGGGGAGTTTACACAGAAAGTTTATGCGGTCACAGAGAAAATAAAAAATGCGCCAGATGAACCGGATGATCTGGCTAAGATTTCCAGGCAGAATGTTGAAGGTGCCTCCTGGCTTCTTATTGCTGCTTATACTAAAATGTGAGAGAAGAGAAATAAGCCAAAAGAGAGACTACTAAATAAAAAAGAATGCTGGTTTTGAAAGTTCCCAGATGTCAAATGATGCTAAAATTAACAAATGGTTTCCCGGCAAAGATGTAATGCGGGGCCATGCCAGGAAGAGATGGCATGATAAAGCCAAGGGGGTGGCTAAACATCCTTTGTTAAGTCCTCAAAAGGATCAAAAGTGGCACTTCAGAGTATTTGGTTAAACAGTAGGACTTCCAAGACACTTGAAGTTGCCATTTAGCAGAAGCCCAAGGTAGAGCAGGGTTTATCTCAAAGACATGTGTGGGTCTGCCAGTTGGCTAAAGGAATAAACCTCAATAAGATTCACAGAAGACACAAAGTTTTCAAAAGAATTACATTGACAAAACAGTGCCAACTTGGACTGAAAGAATCAGAGATAGTACTAAGTGAAAAGAGACTTCTAGAACCCCCTCCTCTCAAATTCTACTGGCAAGAAGCAGCCTGAGAAAGCACACAGATGCAAACACAGGCTGTATTTCATGGAAACAAAAGGACAACTTGGAGAGCAGAATGAAGAGTTCAAAGGGTGGAAGAAGAGCACAGAGAATCACATTCAGGCCAAAGTCGGCTTGAGTGCTAATCAAGGAACTTCCAACTTCTGCCCAGGTAGGGTTCAGAACTGTGTGCCTCCCATCCCCATCCCCTTGGAACAAGGATGTCTGTGGTGGTCATGCTGTGCCTGTCCCACCATTATATGTTGGGTGTGGGCAGGGGGGAAGGGGTGCAGACAGCTTGTCCCTTGAATCCATAGTTCTTCAGATAGTGATTGTACTCAAGGAGCTCCATGGAATGAAATATGCCCAAGGAGCTTCCTCCACATCAGGACCTGATTTAGATGCAGAGTCTAGGCTCTGAGCTGATTCTGTAATAGCATGGGACTTTTGGTGGGGGGTATTTGGAAGACTGCATATGTTTTGCATGTGGGAGGTCTGTAAATAATCTGTGGCCACTGGGTGGACTGTGGACTGGGTGGACACTTCCTGCATTCAAGAGGAGGAGTGCAATTCCTTAAGCCCTGGAGCATGGGCTGGATTCAATGACTTGCTTCTAACAAAGAGAACACATAGTAGAAGTGACAGCATGTGACTCCTAAATCTATACTATCATAGACTAGAGAGAGAAGCAGGGCCTGAGTTCATAGTGGCAGAGCCAGCTCTACTATACCCTAGAATGATGATACTCTCTGAATGAGTCATACTGAGCCCACCTCTGCCAGTTCTGTTCACTGTGCCAGGAATGCCCCTTCACTTCATCTCTCTGAGCCCCAGTTATGCTTTGGGGATTGGTCTGTGCATTATCTCTTTTGGGAAGCCTTCCCCAACTCTCGTCCCTTGGGAATTCCCACACTCATAGCCCAGTTCACAGTCTAATATAATTTCCCTTATGTTTGTCTGTCTGTCTCCCTGTCTTTCAACTGTAAGACCCCTGAGGGCAAGGGCAGGGTCTACTTCATCTGTGTACCCCAGAGACTTGCACAGGACCTCACTCAGAAAAGGTACCAGTGTGTGAGTGTGGATGGAGGGTGTCCCAACAGAGAGACCCTCTCCTTGAGCTTTCTGCTGGTTCCTCAGTGACTGGGAATATAGTGAGTACTTGCAAGCCCTACGCTGTGGGTAAGCGGATTTGCAAGCCCTACACTGCGAGTAAGGGGATGGAGCTACTGCTCCAAACCTGAGGTAGTTTAGGAGGTGAGTCTGGCTCAGGCCCACACAGAAAAGTGACAAGATGGATAAAGAGATGGATTCTCTTTCTGTTGTGTAAGGATGATTCAGCTTATCTTTTGGGAACTCAATAACTGAGTGCTCTGTGTATGTTGCAAAGGAAACATTAACTTGCCAAGGTCTGTGGCCTATTGGAAAGCAAAGCTGGCAGGGTGCATGGCCTGAACTTTCTTTTCAAATCTGGGGCTAGTGCTCCACTTTGCTGAACTCCTAAGGCTTCCAGTTCAAATGCAAAGTGAGACCACCCCACACTTCTATCCCACCTTGTGAATAGCTCATGGTGTCATACGATGTCCTATCCCTTAGAATCTCTCCCCAGTGGGAGCTGAGCACTTAGAAGGGTTTTCCTTGATATTCCCTCTTAAAATGGCCAACCTGTGATTTTACATATTGTCATAGTTTGTTCCAGCTGTGATAGCACAATGCCAGACCAGGTGGCTTATAAACAACAACAATTTATTTCTCACAGTTCTGGAGGCTGGAAGTCCAAGCTAATGCCAGCATGCTCAGGTGAGGGCCCTCTTTTGGGGAACTTCTCGTTGTGTCCTCACATAGTGGAAGGGGCCAGAGAGCTCTGTGGAGTCTCTTTCATAAGGGCACTAATCCCCTTGGTGAGGGCTCCACCCTCATTACCTGATCACTCCCAAAGCCCTACTTCTAATCCTATCATCTTTGGGGTTAGGATTTCAACGTATGAATTTATAGAGGGGAAACAAATATTCAGACCATAGCACGTATAGAGGCAAAAATATGAGTTAGCTTTAATACAACTTAGGCCTTGAACCAGGATCCATCTGAGGACCCGGAATTACAAACGGAAATATTTCTGAAGAGCTAAGCTGATGGTCAGGAGGTTCACAGCCATCTCCTGTGAGGACCTTGCCAGCCTCCAGCAGAACCTGTTAACCCCTGTGTTAAATCAAAGCTTGGGGTTGTTTTGTGGTTGTATCCCAGTGCCCAGGACAGTCCCTAGCCTGAAGATAGGAGCTCATGGCATAGGAACAAATGAGAATGGAGGAAAGGCAGGTGAACTCTTTCTCAAGTGCTTATAGCCTAGTGTGGGACATGAATGTGCAGACACAGCAGAAATCAAAGGTGGGGAAATGATGTGACAATATGACTGGCAGACTAGGATGAATTTTACCAGGAAAAAATGAGAAAGACTCCAGCCAGAGAGAAGAGTAAGAATGAATGCAGGGGTTGTGGAGGTGGGATTGTGAGTGTAAGTGGTTTCTAAGGAACAATGAGAAAGCATGACTCACCGTGTAGCTGGTTAAGCCAGACACAGAAGGACAAATACTGTGTGATTACACTTATCTGAGGTCCCTAGAGTCAACAGATTCCTAGACACAGAAAATAGGTGGTGGTTGCAGGGTTTGAGCAAAGGGAGTGAGGAGTTAGTGTTCAATGGGGATGGAGTTTCAGTTTGGGAAAATGAAGAGTTCTGTATGTAGATGGATGGTTGCACAACAACATCAATGTACTTATTGCCACTGAATGGGACGCTTAAAAATGCTTGAAATGGCAAATTTTATGTTATTTTACCACAATTAATTGTTTTAAAAGTAATTTCCATTGACCTTCATCTTAATTTCATTTTTAAAAAAAGGCTATTCAGCATCAAAAAACTCCTATCCAGTTAGGAGAGAGCCCACCAAAGTTCAATGACACTATAACCAGAGGGAAACAAGGCAGGCAGGCAGGATGGATGAGTGGATTGGATAGATGGATGAATGGATGGATGGGCCTTGCTGGAAACTGTGCAGCTTATCCTGGTCCTGGGCCTGGCATTTGGGAAGCAGCCTCTGGCTGTAGAACCAGCAGTTTCCACGTTTGAGAAACATGAGGTAGAGAGACTAGAAGGTAGGAGACC